CATTAAACACCGCTGGCTCTGAGGCCGAGTGGCTTCGTGATCTCCTTATGAATTTATCGGTTGTTGAAAAACCCATACCGGCTATTTCTATAAACTGCGATAACCAGACTGTGATTACGAAGGTTAACAGTTCTAAAGATAACATGAAGTCCACAGTATATGTTAAGAGATAACTAAAATCTGTCAGAAAATTGAGAAACTCTGAAGTAATAGCGTTGGACTATGTTCACACGTCTAACAATCTAACAGGTCAATTCACTAAGGGTCTGTCACATAATGTGATAGAAAGTGCATCGAGAGAAATGGGTTTGAGACCCACATAAAATTTACTATAGTGGTAACCTGTTCTACGTGATCAGAGATCCCATGAAGTAGGATGGTGAAACAAGTTAGTAGTAAATTATGAGGAAAGATCCTTAGTAAGACTCATTTCTGATGCATATCTTTCCTTTCTGTAAGACAGGTTGATTTTTATCTTAATGTGTTCCAAGTGGCTTGCTAAAGTAAAGATGTTGTCCTACAGAACATTTTTTGAGAAACATACATATATGAGTTAAACTGATGGTCATAGTTTATGAGATTTGGGTGATCTCTAAATACTTATGAAAAGCACTGGAGTATGACTTATATGCTTTAAATAGAGGGGATGTCTTTTGCAGCCTAGTATCAGCTAAGGACTTTAGTGACATTTACCTCACACAAAACTGTCAATTCAAAGCTTAGTCCATTGTTCAGTTGTGACTGAGTGAAACTATTGCTCTAGATGGATGTTCAATTTATCAGTCTTCATCGAAACACTGGTATATAAAAGAAATGTGGTTTTGAGACTACTTTGTTACAAACCCATGGAGTTTGGTGGAGATTGTTGGATATATATGGGCTTGGCCCGTATAATATTTAATAAATTAAATAAAACTCTATGGTCCGTAACATTAAGCGCTGTATGGTTTAATACCGTATGGGATTTTGACTGAACGTTGACTCAGCTTATTTGGTTGGAAATTATCCATCTTAATTGAGAAGCTGAGAAAAGGACACAGGAGTGCCACACGCGCGTGCGCCACCGCCACCCGCCGGGCCGGGCAGGGCCGAGGCGTGGGCGTGGGTGTGGGCCGTGGCGGACGGGCGGGCGTGGCCAGATTTTGCCACTTATTCCACATAATTACGGGAGTTTCTCTCCTTTATGGTGGAGGCGAGTTGATTGCGTCAGTTACCGTCTCTTCGCGTCTCCGTCTCCTGAGTTTCTCCGCTGGCCTTCTCCCTCCCCGCCGCAGGCATAAGTTATATGTTCTCCGTTAGTCTAATTCTTCCTTCACTTCCGAGAAACCACATCTTAGACGCCCTTTGGCTTTCCCCATCCCGTACCTCTGCGCGCACGGAGCAACGGGAGAGCAGTTGCCTCCGGAACCATCGTCTGCCTGCGAACCTTGCACGGGGTGTGCGGCGATTAGATTTTTGGGGAGCGATTCCGCGACTGCTCGTCCACATCGTAGACATCTTTTTTCTGGTGATCGCTCGTGGAACAGCAAGGTGTCTTCTTTGGTGACCGTTCGTGGGACTACACTGCGAACACCTTCCTGCATCGACTGTGGTCTACGACTTCAAGCAATGCACTATGTCTGGTGCGAATGAAGCCTCCGATGCCCTCGGTATGTGACCCTCCGCTGGGTACACTTTTAACTCTCTGATTACTGTACTTTGTGTACTTACTGTATCGATCGATATGTCATACTTGCATACTGTAGTATTTGTTAGTGATACACATATACATATACGTTGTTACGAATCTGCTGATGTTTTATTTCTAGATTAAACTAGCCATGAAACTACCTAATTATCTAACAGCTGTTCGGTTCCCGTCTTGTATCGCTCTTGACCATCTCCATCCTTGCTCGATCGAGTAGGTGAACTCCGTCCCACTCAAACTTTCCTGCTCGCTCCAATGGATTTAAAAAAAAAACTTGATTCGCAGCAACCTGTCGAATGGACAGAGATTGGCAGGGGAATTTCACCGAGAAGGAAGAGACAGGTAGTCAGTTAGAGATAAGGGGACGCTCATGCCCTTCCCCGCGCCCAAAGGTCCAGTAGTAAAACTTTGGACAGGCTGCCTGCTCTTGCCTATGAATTGAATTGGCCTTCACACAGCCCATTTTGTTTTGCCTCACCGTACCTCGATCTATAGAGGACAACAGCACGGCTGGTAGCTATATATTCAGTCTGGATTCGTGACGTCATCTCTATTTCAGAATGGCTTTGTCATCTTGATCTTGGCGATCCGTGCAACTTTGTTATATGTTCGTACTAGCGTAGCATGTCTCTGAATCTTTAATTTGGTCTCTGAAGGTAACTGCAGCTGATAAACGCTAAGCTGATGGCTGACAACAGTATTCAGGAAGCATTACTGTCTGATCCTCCTAATGTGCTGGCAAGCCAGACATCAGAAGGATCCATACGGTTTCAACGACGCAGGTTACGTCTGTCCTCTGATAAAAAACCCCCACAGAACCTGCTGGTCCTCTGATAAAAAAAACCACAGAAGAAAGGGCCAAACTTCAGGCTTGTAGGCCTCATCCTCTTTGTCTACCTTCTAGCGGGTGTCATCATCTTCTACCTTGTCATGGATCAGATGTCTGGAATGAGAACTAACAGAGTGCTCGACGCCTTGTACTTAGTTATCGTCACAATGACCTCGGATGGCTGTGGGGATCTCGTCCCCAACAGCGACACAACAAAGCTGCTTGCTTGTGCTTTCGTCTTCACCAGCATGGCGATTGTTGGTATCTTCATCAGCAAATTGGCGGACTACCTTGTGGAGAAGCAGGAGGTGTTCTTCAAAGCACCGCAAGGTGAAGCCAAAATGCTCAGTGCTGTCGATACCAACAAGATAAAATACAAGTTCTGCACGGTTGCTCTACTTCTTCTGATGGATGTCATTGCTGGGACTGTGTTCCTGTGGAATTGAAGGTTGAGAAACTGAGCCTTGTTGATTCCTTCTACTGTGTCTTTTATGGGGATAAAAGCTTCCCGTCTAAGTTCGGCCGTGTGTTTTGCCATATGTTGGATAATCACGAGTACTGTCATCACGGCTCAGTTTTCCAGTACCTTGGGGAGTACTACATTGAGAGACGGCAGAAAATGCTGATCAAATGGGTGCTCACCAGGAGGATGACAACCATGGATCGAGGAAGCTAATCTGGATGGTGATCGACAAGTTGGGTAAGTGCATAACTCATTTTCAGCAACCGTCTTCCATCAGTCTAAGTTTTCAGAAATGCTAGGTATCACTGATGCTGATGTCTGAATCTTGATCGGCGTACAGTGCTGCTGAATTTGTACTCTACAAGCTGAAAGAGATGGGTAAGATCAACCAGGAGGAGATATCTTTCCTCATTGAGGAATTTGAGAGGATCAATCTTGACAGTCCGGAACACTATAGACGTACAGATGGCAAACCAACCAATGACTGATGTATGGATGCACATTTGATTTTGCTTCTTGAATGGTTTTGGTTGATATTGTTACTTGTTAGCATCTGTTGTCCATATGTAACACTGTAATCTTGTACAGATGGCAAGATGCAAAGCAGATAACACAAGAAATTATATTCCACTTCCCTTCCAAAGCAACTTCAGAATCAAACCTGGACATATGTAAAAAACAAATGTTTGCTGGAAGTTTTCTCCCACTTTGCACGGTTGCGTATATGTGCTTTTTTTTTACCGGAAAGGACGGAAGTTCCTACTTATTTTTGTTATATATATTAGTAAATTCGTCCGTACGCTGTAATAGAAGGTATAGCTTGTTGCACGGCCACCTATAAAGATTGTATCTTTGTTGAATTTAATTGATCGGTTCAACCTTATTTCAATTAAATCAAATATGGTTACAAGTCAAAAAAAAAAAAATGGTCACAACATGGCCGATTGTGGTGCGTAGAGTGTGGTATTGGGAGATCAGCAACTCATAGTGATGATTCCACAATTTATTTTGAAAAAGCTTGAGGTGCTGATGGATGGTGGCGCAATGACAAGACCAACCAGCAATGACTCTGGCAGGCATGCGCATAGCATTACGATGAATTAAAAAATGCTTTAGACAAAGAGGAAACTGTGGATCCTCAAGAAAAAGTGCAAGATGGTCTAGAAATCTAAATTTATAAAAGGCCATGGAACAAAAACTTATCAAAAAATAGAACTCACTAGAGAAACTAAATATTAGGTTGATTTGGTGTCAGCAAAAATTGCACATCCACGGGATAATAAGAGTGGAAAAATGAATGAGATGGAGATTTAAGCCAAGAAATTGGTCAACAATTGCTATAAGAAGATAGTGCCGATTGCTGCAGCGTGGACACATGGAGAGAAAACAATTACGTAAAAAATAAAAAATGTTTTCAAGTAAAAAACATGAATGTCACACTGAAAAAGTTAGCATTCGTGTTATTTGCACGGGCAATCCTACTAGTTGGTCAAAGGCTTAAAGAGTTGTGATGGGCTGACGATGAGTCGATCACGATGCCAGCTGGGCCACTGCCACTTTTCTCCGGCCGAAGGTTGGGCGGATGGATCACAGGAAATTGTCAAATTTCTAGGAACCGCAAAAAGGTCCCGAAGATACATTGAAATTTCAGAGGAATTTGCCGAGTATAAAGTAAATTTTTCTGGAATCCACAATGGTTATAAACAGGGTATGTGAATTTTACTCCTATGCACACTGCAAATGAAGGCTCTTTCAGAAGAGCAATAGAGAACACAAGTGAAGCTTTTATTCATCCTCACTGCTCATCATTCACATAGAGTCATCGGTCAAAGTTACGCTACATATAGCCACCTAGCTTATCTCTCTCCAAAGCCAAACAACCAAATCTACCCGCGTTACACAGACCGTGCTAGATACCAGAACCGGCCAACCGATGTTTCAGACTAGCACAGTTACTTGGCCAGCTACACGCGAGAATTTGACACGGCCGAACTCTCACTGCAGTTCCAGGAGCATGAGTGTCAAAATTTACTTGTCGATGGCTTGGACCGCTTGCTGCTGAGCTGGGCGACTGGGAACTCTATCAGGATGATGAACGACGAGGTGTCGGCTTCTCGTAGGTACTGTACCGTGCCACTCATCGTTTTCACCAGCTTCTGGCATATGTACAGGCCGAGGCCCTCCCTGGACACCCCTGGGTTGTGCCGGAACATCTCCTGTATCAGGGCCTCGGGGACGCCTGGAGCTGGATGGACAATCCTGCACATTGAGTCAATCAGTTACACAGCTCCCATTACCACCATTACTTACATTCACCACACTGCAGTGTATATAGAATGGCACGGACAGCATCAATTTTACACAGGGGCCATTTCTACTGTTTCAAACTGCAAAGTGCAACTATATGCCTGAAGTGACATGTATCACTGCATCTTGGCTCGTGCAGTGACAGGATACACAACTAAGATGTTCAGAAGTGAATTTGCTAGCATTAGGTCTTATCTGTTCCTTGGCAACATACAGTCCTTTTCGTGGATTACAACTAACACAATTAGGAGTAGTGCCAAAGTTATTTACAAGAGATAACTGTTGGAGTTGTGCTGGGTTAATAGAAACTAGATGTACAAAAGTGGTTCACTTATTTGTGAAATCATCCTTTCAGTTCAAGAACAGCTATCGAAAGACCAAGATGAGATTGGCGTATTACCTGAACTCCAAATGAGCAATCTGCATGCCGGACCCAATGTTTTCCTTCTTGGGAATGACCTGGAGCACGATAGGTCCTTCAGCTGGTTGTGTGAATTGAAGGGCGCATGCCAGATAGTCTGCTAGGACCTGCTGAAGCCTTCAATTGTCCCCGTAAAGGTACATCCGTGATACTTCCACAGGCCAATCACGTTCAATAGAAATCCGTTTTTCCTTGCCCAAAGGAATGCCTTGCATTAGGACCGTATTCAGAGCTTCCTCAAGGTTGAACTCTACTGTGTTCATCTCCATATAGCTGTGACAGCAAGAATTTGTTTCTCAATAGTCAAAAAATTTTGTCATGCATGTATAACTGAACTGGTCAGCCTTGTCGTATGCATACATCTTTAGCACTACAAAGCATTAGTACAATGAACAAAAATTTCATGTCTGAGCAATTCTAATCATCATGTGAATATGAAAGCAAGTATATCTTTATGTATAGTGTATGCTGTTTCATAGATCCCTTCTAGAATTGCCACAAAAACAATGCAAATAATCAAATCAACATTACTACTGATGATTCGGACAATACAGAACTTACTGTTGGACAGGTAAGGACCACAATTGGGGCATTGGATTGGGAATTGGTTTAGATGGCAGCAATAACATTGGCTGCTTGTAGTTCCATATATAGGCAATAGCAGTACTTGATACAGCAAAAGCATAACAAACCCAACAACTAAAGGGCATATTCTAACCACTAAAGTGCCTAGAAGATAAGATGCTGGAATCAGCTTTAACAAAGTAAAGATAACTAGAGAGAAGCACATAGGCTTATACTCTCACTTACCACTGTTCAATGCTTTCAAGATCAGTGTCATGTAAAATCTTTTTCAGCTGGTCCTGACAGAGAATATTAGATGAAAGAAGTTGCCTCTGTTCCTCTGTCAATTCGGAAGGCTCCAATAAGTTGCAAGTAAATTGCATACCATTGAGTGGGTTCCTTAATTCTTGATGAATGTAAGTTAATTCCTTAAAGCTGTTTGTGGCAGCTTGTTCAGACATTTTCTGCACCTGGAGAGCATGTTGAAGCTCTGAGCTGGCCACATGCAGAAAGCAAATAGCGCCAGTGATCTTACCCTCAGCATTTGTCCTCTTGTTCACTGTCAGCAAGCATTCAATATACTTCCCATCTGTGTCGAAGAAACCAAAAAGGAGCTTCTCAGGATCCTGACCAGAAATCACTGCGTTCATCAGTATGCTAAGTTTCGTTAGAGTAGCATGATCTTTCACCCTACAGCCATAATCATGAAGGGTGAAGACCTCCCCAATTAAGAACTTGTCTATCGCATCTTCCCTCTGTATACCGGTAATCTTTTGCATAGCTTTATTCCACTCTAAGCAGGAACCAAGATCATTGATCATAAATATGGGAGGGATCAGCTCCCTGGGGTTCTTTACTATGGCAACATAGTCTCCTTGTATCCTAGTATACTTATCCATAATCATCTTCTGCCTCGTCAAATCTTGTGCTACAAAGCAAACTCCAATGACTTTCTCTGAAAGGTCCCGATTACAGCAGGAGTTAACCATCAAGATTACTGGACCATTGCATTCCTGTTCATGGAATGCTTTAAGCTTCATTTCCAGATTTTGCTCTTCAATTCCTGAAACAAGGAGGAGGCATTAAGCTGTCATAGAAAAAAAAAATGGACACATTGGGGACCACAAAAGATCAACTGAAAGCATAGTGACAAACCTTGTAAAGCTGAGTCCAAAATCTGCTTAACCACTTCAATACAGCAACAACAAGATCTATCAGAGGCCTCCCTATGGCTTCCATTACAGGTAACCCTGTTAGTTCTGCAGCTTTATTGTTCCATCCATTTATGTTACCGGCAATGTCGACAGCCAAGACCGGGGCAGTTGTTGTCTCAATTAAGCGGACCATCTCTTTTGTAACTGTTCTTAGTTCAAGTAGCCCCTGTATCTTCTTCATATCATCAGATGGAGCTTTTACAATGGACCTTACATTGTTTCTGTTGGTATCTTCATCTTGCAGGGAGCCACGTAATATTAACTGCAAAGAATGGATAGCATCCATTTCAACATCCTCCCAGGGAACACTTCTCCATTTAACCACCTCCAAGAAGGCCTTGAATGAAGATCGTGGATGCATCTTCCTGCCATTGTCGTCTGCGTCAACCGGTTCATGCTTAGCCCCACCCCACTTGATCTCCTTTGTTGTGTGCGATCAGAACCAGAAGATAAACTCTTTGTTGGAAGAGATCTTTATAGCCGCCATGCCACACACAACTTCACGAAGTGCAGCAGCACCAGGGTAACCTGCTTCCACTAAGCTGTCAGTACTCAGCCCAGTTGAACCATCATGGTTCTCCTGCAGCCATGTGGCAATGCTCTTTATCTCTGACTCGGAGGGTGTTGATCCGAGCACCAAAAGCTGGTTCTGGTAATACAATGCAGCTCCATCGCACTTTACTAGATCCATCACATTAGGTGACTGGGTAAATATCCCAACAGGAGCATCCTGCAGGAGCATATCACAAAGAAGGGTTTGCGTTCTGAGGATGTGCCTCTCCTTTGCCTGAGCAGCCAATTCCACCTCCTTGTTGAGCTGTATGCCAAATACTTGCAAGAGAAACTCGCAAGCATGGGTGGATCCAGCAGTGGGGCGGGGGGCTCAAGCCCCCCCTACCCATACCGAATCAGTGAAAATTACTGTAGAGCCCATATGAATTTTTAGGCAAAGTTCTATAGTGTAGGGGGGCTGAGACTTAAGATCGAACAGCAGTGTTGTTCAGCCCCCCCTAAAATATTTCCTGGATCCGCCGCTGCTCGCAAGCATACCTTAGTGGGAAAGGGACGAACCTCGGGCTTGTATGATGGCAGACGACCATCCCCCACAGCTTCCTGCCTTTCGGTTGTTGGTCACTCCCGGTATCCCCATCTTCCTCCTCATCCTCGTTTATAGCGACTGACATCACAAGAGATGCAACAGAACCCATGTTTGCCATGTACTGTGCATGGCAACCATGGGAAGCCCTGAGGGTGGAACCACAGAGGCTGAGAAGCTGTGCTAGGCTATCATCCTGAATGATCTTCACTGGAGTGGCAGAGCAATCACATATCACCCTCACTTTGTTCTTCATAAACAGGAACCTGGACGCCTGCGGGATGTCGGTGGCTGGGTAGTGCAGGCCAAGATACGGCTCCAGATCGGACCTCCTGCACTCGGAAATGACCTCACCATGCTCATCCTCATGGAACTTGTACGCCATGACCCGGTCATAGCCCGTGAGCTCGCTCACCTCACGGACAAGCACATCGCACAGCAACGACAGGTTCCCGCTGGGCAGCGACTGCAGCCTGGAGATGGCCTTGGCGGCGAGCTTGTACGACTTGAGCGCGCCCGCGGCGGTGACAGGCACGTCAGCTGGGTTGACCGGCTCGAGGTCGATGACGAGGCCGACGTCGATGCGGTGCAATATGGCATAGAAGGGCTTCCCCGACGTCCTGGCGTGCACGAGGATGGGGTTGAGCAGGTTGACCTCCCCGAAGGTGGCGGCCTTGTGGAGCGCGACGGAGCTCTGCGAGCGGAAGAGCGTGCGCACGTCGGCGCCGACGGCGAGCGCGTCCCGCTGGTCGATGGTGGGGACCGCGTGCGGCGTGAGGTCGAGCATCTCGGGCGCGTTCTCGCTGTAAGCGAGCAGCGCCAAGGTGTCCGGGTGGACGGCGAGCAGGCAGCCGAAGGGCTGGATGTAGCGGCCCCTCTGCATGTTCTGGAGGTAGGTGGAGACGGTGCTGGTGCTCGCCGACGGGCGGTTGGCGGCGCTCACCGACGAGTAGTAGTCGAAGTGGCGCTGGGAGCCCTCGAACTCGGCGTGCAGCTGCGCGTCCACGGGCGTCTGCGCCACCACCCGCGCGCTGTGCCTGGACCGCGCAGAGCTGCTCCGGGAGCACGTCCCCCGGTTGTTCGACGGCGACGACATCTCCGCTTCGCCCCACTGCAAGATCCCTCCTCCTCCTCCTCCTCCTCCTTCCCCGCCACCGAACTAGGCGCAGCACTGCACAGCAAGGGTTGCCGGACCGAGCGGGCGGAGGAATAAGCGGGAATCATGGGCGCGCCAGCGGGGGCATACGCCAAAATCGAGCGGGCTTTGCCTGGTAGAAGGACGTGATGAGGGAGGGGATTGGATTCCGCCGCGGATAAGCACGGGGGAAGAAGAGGGAATACACCTCCGAGTCCGCGCGAGTGGGACAGCGAGCGGCCTGCGCGGGGCAGCGGCAGCGAGCGATAATATCTCTTGGACGTTGCCCTGCTCCAAAGGAGGGACACGAAAGGAACCGGAGGGAGCAACAGCGATGCGCCGTGCGCGACTGACTACTCCGGTGAGAGGACGCCGGCGCCGGACGGTCGGCGAGGGGCGCGCGGACGGATGGGGGAATTGGAGCGGCGAAAATTGGGGGATTCGCGGGGCTAGACCAAGACCCGCCGCTGCAGTTGGGGACGAGTGTGTCGTCAATGCTCCGAGAGTGGTAAGCTGTCTGGCGTCATCTGGGTCGTCTTCTCCGCAGCAATCGCCGCCATTTCCATCTCGGGTAACGATGGATCCTGGTAGTGGAGGATTACTGTGCTACTTCCAGTAGATTAGATTATCGGATTATATTATACTGGTAGCGTGCCCGTGAACATTAAACTGACATTTAATCAAAAATTAAAGTTTATGACATTTTTATAACAATATAACACATGTTTAATTTTAATTATGCCATCGCATATAGTTTATTAATTTAATAATCTCATAATGTCACATATAGTTTATTAATTTATTAATCTCACACATAGTTGATTAGCCACCAAAAATTTAGGATGAACACCGTGAACAAGCGGCCGTATATGCAAACTTAAATATAATATTTGAGTAAATATAAACGTGTTACGTGACATTGTTCTTATGTAAATCTAACATGTACGGATGATTTTTTTAGTTGGTATGTAGTGTGTATATAACATCTTCATGTAGAGTCTGATAAATCATTTAAAAATAATTAGGTACAGCAACAAACATGGCGTTAGTGAAATAATATCTGTACAATATAAATTGAATAAAAAATGCATTGCATGTGTTAGTAATGTTGTATTACCTTGCCTACGGTGTCAGAACCTCCTTAAATATAATATTCTTTGTAAAAGTTTAATCTACTATTCAGGTCTTCTTATCCTTACCTTTTTTATTTGACACATTCTTATTTTTTCTTCTCGGCATTCTTTTTAGCATTTTTCTTCTTCATCTTTTTGGCCTCCTCCTCCCATGCATCCGCATCAGGCGGAAGGGCAAAAATCTTAATATTCATTCTTGACGTGGCTCTAGACATCGCAACGTTCAACTGATCGTGAGAGAACACCGGTGCGGCCAGATACACACCCACGTTTGGGATAGTTTAGCCCTGTGACTTGTTGACCATCATGGCAAAGCTCAGCCTGATAGGAAACTACTTCCTATTAAACTGGAACTGGAACATCTTGTCATCAGACGGGCATAGCGGTATTCAAGGAAGGAATATCCACTTCCCAATATGCTGCCCCACCACAATTTCTATGTCTGATTGTATTTCTTCGGAATCCCCGCACCACCAGCCTTGTGCCATTGCATAGCCCATTGGCTGGGTCGATATTCCTAAGCAATATGATAGGACACCCGATCTTGAGGTTCAAGACATGTAGAGGTAGCTCATTGGGGGTTAGACTATTAAGGAATTCCGATGGATAGTAGTTATGTGGATCATCTATCGCGGAGTCAAAACTGTGATACACCGTCTCGCCACCCTGGAACATATCAATAATTTTCATATTGATCATGTCCACCCAATTGTTACATGTAGATAAAATCGCTCTGTTGGTGATGTAGTCTTTGTCTGCCATGTTTGCATTTAGATCTAGAAAGATGATGCCGATCAATCTATGAAGATCTTTCTCGGCATCGCCAAAGTATGGGACACAAATCTTGTCTGGAATATGTACATCGCAATCTCTGTTAACCTCTTCCGTTCCACCACCAATGCGCAACAGATAATTTGCAAACCATGAGTCACTCTGAGCCCTCATGTTGCGGACGAGCTTTAGGTGACGCATGGTGTCGGTGTAGAAAGTGACCAACACGTAAATATTTGTAGTTTTGTCGTACGTTGTGATCGGAGGTGGCCTAGCACTCAATAACACAGGGTTTATACTAGTTCAGGCAACGTGCCCTACGTTCAGTTTGAGTCGGTCGGTGACTTTATTCCTAAGCCCAGGTGCTCGAAATTTACAGTGGGGTTACAAACGAAAAGGAGAAAGATGGGGGGTACGGGAGGTCCGGTCAGACTCTGGTCAGAGGAGCCGAGAGTGATGAGAGCCCCACTATACGCTAAGTGTTTGAGCGTGTGCTCGTGGTTTGAACCTAGAGGTTCTGTTGTTGTGGACTAGTGAACTGATCGATCGAATGAATCTACTTGTTGGGAGAGAGCACATCCCCTTTTATAGATGAAGGGGATGGCCTTACAAGTGAGAAGGAGAGAATACGTATGCTACTGAGCCTTGTTGCCCACGCCGGCGGATACAGGATGATGGTAGTGTCGATGCGGGACCCACAGGATACCCTGCAAGAGAGAGAGAAGATCTAGTTCAACTAGGATTCTTCCCATGTAATCTTAGTAATAGAACTATTAAGTAATCCTACTAGGAAATCTCATTGTAAACCGATTAGGACTCCGGCCTCCTGAATATATAAAGGAGGCCAGGGCTCCTAAAGAAGAGGACAAGGGTACAACATAACACTTCATAATCAATCCAACGCAAAGGCAAACGCCGACTGGACGTAGGGTCGTTACTCGATCTACGATCGAGGGCCTGAACCAGGATAAATCGACTGTCTCTTGCGTTTACCATCGAGTTCAGCATACGTCGAAGCCCGAACTATACTGTCACGGTACCCCTGTGGCAGGCTATCGGTGGTAAAACATCGACAGCTGGCGCGCTAGGTAGGGGTTTTCGGCGACTTTGCATTCGAGACCTCGATGGACCTCAATAACATGATCTTCCTGACGGGATCGATTTTCATCTTCGGCTCGTGGATCTGCGAGGCAGACAACTACGGCAAGCTTCAAAGTCACCTCCTCAAAGATCCGGATCATCATGAAGAATCCTCTATTTCGACAACTACGACGGATCAGCTCATCAGAAGATTCGCGCAGCTCATAATACCCGATTCGAATAAGATTCCACAGCTACACGCATCCGACTCGAATTCAAGCTCCGTATCCGAGATGAAGTCTTATTCGAGTGCTTTCAAGAAGTCGAGTTCTTGTTTGGCAAGATTCCAGAATACAACCCAAAACAACTCAGATTACCCTCAGAATTTTTTCAAAAGGCCGAGTTCGTTTCCATTTGGGCTGGACAACACGACAAAATCCTATCAGGGACAGTTTGAAAGGTCTTTCAAATCAACACTTGGGATACCACTGACAGGAGCTCAGGAGGGTCTCGTTCTAACGATAACATCGCAAGATCAGATCATCCATCGCGAGATCCGTTCTCGAGGATAGCGGAACCCAACTAGTCGGCACAACAACAACAAATTATTCTACCTTACCAAGAGGGGGACTCAATCTACGACGTCCGAGGCGCTGCTGAAGTCATCAACAATTCCGGCGATATGAAAACTAACAACAATAATCGAACAGCTCACGCACGGGAAGTGCTTTGATGGTTCGGCGCCTCGGTCACCATTAAACCCCTGTAAGCACCCGATGTCGGTCATCGATGAATCGAATCCAACATATCACCCTTTGCTCGTGGCTACGATGGAGAAACCGAGAGTCGAGAGACGAGGCTAGAGAAAGGAAAAATAAGTTGAAACAAGGGCGCCAACACCGCGCTCGACAGCGTAGAGAAGCCTGGACCAGATATGAGTCAGAATTGGCTGAATACGATAAAAGAAAATCACAACAAGAGGCCGAAGAGAGACGCACGTGAGTACGCCTTTACGATAAGATTCGAGAAGCATTAGAAGAACTCAGGGCAACTTCACATCACGGGAGAAGTACGAACAGCTCGGGACTTGCTCCGGTCAACGATCCCAAGAACGCATGAAGAGAGAACCCGATCAAGAATACCTGCCAGATCAACAACCCGTAGGCAAGAAGATCAAAATCAAAGGAAGTCCGCTTTTGAAAGACTTGGACCAGACGGAAGCCATAACGGGGAAAGTAGGAGGGAACATAGTCGGGGCCATCAATTTGAACAACCAAGGAAGACCAGGAGTAGAGGGCTACCTGCATGACCTCGCAGTAATTATTCCCATCAAAATAACACTTGGCGGAAGAAGAAGCGAATCCGAATTCAAGGAAGCGGGACGCATGATGATTCCCCTGTTTTGCAAACAGGTTGGCATCAGTTCGATTACCTCACAAATTCAAACCGTCTAATCACTCCAAGTATGATGGCAAAACCGAACCAAGACAATGGCTCAGAATATATTCACAATCAATTGAACTAGCCGGAGGAGACGATGATATCAAAACCTTGTTCTTTCCCATGGCACTGGAAACGATGCCCCTCCAATGGTTTGATAAATTGAACCCAGGATCGATCAGAACTTGGGAAGACTTGCAAAAAGCTTTACAGAAAATTTCGCAGGTATCATCACACACCCGATCACTCATGCCAAACTGAAAGGACTCAAACAAAAAGGGGGCGAAAGTCTCAGAAATTACTATCGGCGATTCGGCGAACTACGGGCTCAAGTGCATGACATCACCGAACGAGAAGTAATTGAAGCTTTCTCTCACGGAATCATGGCTAGGTGGCAATTTCAAGACTTACGCAAAAAAAATCGAGAAACAATGAAGAATTGAGACGAACAAGAGAAAGAATGATTACTGCGAGAAGAAAAAACACGAAAAGGTTCCGGATAGAAGCAACCAAGATAACCCTTGATAGGCAAAATCA